TCTTTGTGAACTTGGGTTAGACAAAATCTTGGTTAGAAGCTTGGTGCCAGGAGCCATTCCTAGCACTCAGGAGGCTGAGATCTGAGTGAGGATTGAGATTTGAAGCCAGCCCAGTCAAGAAACTCCATGAGATCTTATCTCCAATAAAGTAAAAAAGAAAAAAGCTCAGGGACAGTGCCCAAACCAGAAAAAAATTAAACAGAGTTAACATATAATCCAGTAAGTCTCCTCTATCTTCTTCTCCCACTCCCTTTCCCTCCTTCCCTCTCTCTCTCTCTCCCCATATATATCTTTATATATATATATCTCAAAAGGAATTAAACATATATACACATAAAATTTGTAAGCCAATATTCAGGCCATTATTCCTAACAGTTAAGACATGTAGATAGCCAAATTTCCATCAACTAATGACTGTATAAAATGTAATCTATTCAAGCTATGAAATATCATTTAGTCATAAGAAGCAATGAAGTATTGATTCATGCTACAAAATGCATGAACCTTGAAAACATCATGACACCTGAAAGAAGCCAGCCATAAAAGACCACACATTTTGTGATTCTATTTATATGAAACTTGCAGAATAGGCAAATGCATGAGAAAGAGAGTACATTAGTGGTTGCCTAGGACTGAGGATGAAGGGAAAGAAGAGTGACTGCTAATGGGTATGGATTTCTTTTTGGGGTGATAAAAATGTTCTAAGATCAGGTAACTGTGATGGCTGCACAAGTCTGTGAATATATTAAAAACTACAGAATAGTATTCACTAGGTAGTTGAATTGCAATGAATTATATCTTAATATACTTTAAAATTGTTATTGTTATCATAAAGGTGATAGAGAAAAAAACCTTTTATTATTATTTTTAGATTTTTGAAGAGAACATAGAGTAGGAAAAAATAGAGGTTTAAAATCAAGAGGCTCAGGCTTCAAAGTTAAGTTTGAGATAGTAAAACAGCATGTAATATTTCTATATTTAGCTTTGATATTCTAACTTCAGCAAGAACCCTGACCTGCAATACTATACTTATCATTCCAATATGAGGCATAGAGGGTTTGCCCTCACTAGAAACTAGAACCACTTTTATTTATTTTTAATTAAAAATGCTTTCTGTATGAGTACACCAAAAAAAAATCAGTCTTATTTACTTTTATGTAAATAAGTGTTATAAATGAGTGAGTTTTATTCTGCTACATGTGCTAATCATGAGAGGGTAAAATGTTTTTCCCTCTACTATATGTAATACAGCATAATAGTTGAGTGCCTAGGCTATAAGAACAGGCTGCCGGGACTCTTTCAGTCATTGTGAATTTGTGATAGTTACTCAATTTTCCTATATGCTATTTATTTCATATTGTTGTTCTGAGAATTCAAGGAAGTAAGGTACTTAGCATAATGTTTAGAACATAGTAAACACTAAGATTGTAAAATTATTAGTTACAGCAACAGTCATAGGGAATTGAGATTTTTATGAAATGGGTAAGGACTGGAAGAGTAGGTCAAGTGGTTGAGCAACTGCCTGGCAAGAACAAGGCCTGGATTTAATCCCCCATAACACACACACACACACACACACACACACACACATACACACACACACACACACACACACACACACACACACGATAAAAACAAGATTGTGTGTAATATAACAGAATTGAGCATTAGTGTCCTGAAAGGATATTTTGTTTTGCAATTTTGCTAACACTAAGCAACTACTTTGGGTATTTAGTTAAGGTATTTGGATAGTTTTCAGCATTTATTGCTAGAGCCTTTTTTAGAGAGGCTTGCTATATACAGTTGAGACTGTGCTGTTACTTGAGTATTTTTTAGAGAACATGTGATTCAAGTATTGCTACAGACATGATATTTATACCACATTTCTGATCAGTGACATCTCATAACAAACTTGTTGCTTTATAAATCATTCATTGAATTTTACTTAAAGTCTGCTAGGAAGTCTTCTCTCCTTTGAGGATTTTTCTACCAATATTTTCCTATAATAGGAAGCTTTTAATATTTTAATGTTTGGATTAGGGTGTGTGGCTCCATGCTTGAGACCTGAATTCAAACTCCAGTTTCATTACCCCCCCCCCCCAAAAAAAAAAAACCTAGGCACCAGTGGCTCACATCTGTAATCCTAGCTACTCAGGAGACTGAGATCTTAGGATCGAGGTTCAAAGCCAGCCCAGGTAGGAAAGGAGACTCTCATTTCCAATTAACAACCAGAAAACCAGAAGTGGTACTGTGGCTCAAGCGGTATAGCACTAGCTTTAAGCTGAATTGCTCAGGGACAGCGCCCAGGCCCAGAGTTCAAGCCCCACAACTGACAAAAAAAAAAAAAGGACTACGTATTTGTGTGTTGTGTTTTTGTGTATTGTGTATTATTTGTGTTATACTATGCTTTGGATTTAAATCAAGGCCTCATGCATATTAAGTAATTACTACTTAGATACTTCTTCTGCCCTAAACACTATTTTGATTTCTTAGGACAAAGAAAACATTAGTGAGAATAACTACATATAATAATACCTCAATAATTAATAACATGAAAAAAAGGTTTACCATATGTAGCTTTATTTACATACTTTAAAAATGGACTTTGAGTAAGTGTGGGTGGCTTACTTCTAGCTACTCAGGAGGCTAAGATCTGAAGATCACAGTTTGAAGTCAGCCTGGGCAGGATAATCTGTGAGACTCTTACTTCCAATTAACCACCAAAAGAGTCAGAAGTGGAGCTGTGACTCAGTGGTGGAGCACTAGCCTTGAGCAAAAAAACCTCAAGGGCAATGCCCAGGCCCTGAGTTCAAACCCTATGATTGGGGACCTTTTCATATATGTGTACAATCTACACCAATCAACAACTCCTCCACATCCCATCACCCTCCTTTACTCCCTCTCCTCTTAAAACAATCTCAATGTTCTCTCTTTCTCTCTCTCCACCCCATCACTCTCCTTTACCTCCTCCCCTCTTAAAACAATCTCAATGTTCTCTCTCTCTCTCTCTCTCTCCAGTCCAGTCCTGGGGTTTGAACTCAGGACCTGGACACTGTCCCTGAGCTTCTTTTTGCTCAAGGCTAGCACTCTACCACTTGAGCCACAGGACCACTAGTAGCTTTTTTTTTTTCTTTTTCTGTTTATGTGGTAGAGGAATGGAACCCAGGGCTTCCATGTATGCTAGGCAAGCGCTCTACCACCAAGCCACATTCCCAGCCCCGTCAATAAGCTCTTTTCATACATGCAAACAAACTACTTGGATCATATTAATTCTCATTTACTACCTTTTTAACCCAGCACCTCTCCATTCCTCCCCCCCCCCCCCCCAACAAAGCCTGTTTTACTTTCTTGTATTCACTGCCCCAAAAGGTTTCAGCATGGTATTTCAGACGAACATCTTTTGCTCACAGTAACATTATCTATTGATCTGGGCTATTTTCAAAACATGGGAAAAGAATGGTTGACAGCCCATTGTCTCTTGTCTCCGAAGAGTTACAAGAACCAGAACGGCGGGAGGAAGGGTGAGGTAGTGGTGGGCATGGATGTTCAGAGGAATGACAACAGCAAAATAAGTAACTTTGAGGAGTGGGAGAGGACTGCAAAGCACAATCATAAGGCTTGCTGCTACATACCTGCAATATAACTTGTCTTCTACTTTCTGGGCCTTAGAAATTTGCTCAGTTTTGCTGTTGCAAACTTTAACGGATTTGCAACTATGTTTACACTTATTAGCTACTGGAAATTAAATAATCGTCCAACTTCTAACTGAGCAGTGTCTAGATTACAGAATTGATGTCAATAGTATCAGTTGTGTTAAAAAAAAACAAAAACAAAAACTAAGGTCAGGCCCGAGCACCTACTGAGGGTGTAAACCTGTTAAGTCATTTAGTCTCCCGAAATGGCTTCATCACCAGTGAAAAAAAAGAGAACCTACTTACTTCAGATATTGAGATTGAAATAGTCCTAGCATCTGCCACTCGGGAGAGTTTGGTGTCCACGCAGAGAGGTTTTTAAAATCACGACATATCGGAATACAGAGTTACTAAATGTGCTTAAATATTCTTTGACACTGTATTGCCTCAATTGGACTTAAATTCTCAACGGATGCCAATGCTTTCCGTCACTGTTCAATAATTTCTGACCTATCCTTCCTTCTCATACGTACTCAAGGGGCTCTAAAATAGTATTTCTAAGCTCATTTCACCACCACCACCGCCATCTAACCTTTGGGTTGTCAGAGACTCCCGGGCAATTAATTGGATCGATCCTAGAACACGTTTCTGCAAGCCCTGCCCGGCTTCCAGCGCTGCAGACTCGGGGCTAACCACCGGGGTCCAGCGCCGGTCGCCACGTCCGGCCAGGCGTGCCAGCGCGGCCGCGGGATGGCTCTAGTTGGCTTTGTGGCTAGCTCTGCTCCCCCAGTCCCGGCACCGAGGGAGGGCACCTCGCCTCCCGCCTGCCAAGCCCGCGCACCACGGCCGCGGGTGGAGGGTCACCCCTTTTCCCGCCTCCGGCACTCGCGGCGCCGCGGACGCAGCCTACAGGAGGCCGGTGCGGCGCCTCACCTCCCACCCCCGGAAGTTTGTCTCCAGTTGCGAGGTCTCGGAGTCACCTTGACTCTCCCCGAGAGGCGGAGAAAGTTAGCCCCGGCCTTAGGAGTCCGGTGAGTGAAACCGAAGACACAGAACACTTTCATGAGCTAAAGATGCCGTCACGTTTTCCTGTTTTCACCGTCAAGACCTGGCGAGTTTCGGGGTGACAAGAGCAGGTGGCAGGACTCCGCCCACCATCAGGCTTTTTCCCCTCCTTCGGCTCGCACGCTTCAATCGCTCCCTATGATCCCGCCTCTCGGGCGCGCGCGAAGAGTGCTCGCTCGGAGGATGCTGGGAATTGTAGTCCCGTCTCGGTCGGCAGCCTCGGTACAGACGACTGGGGTCTACATATCCCATGGTGCAGCGCGGCATTGGCCGCTCCCGGATGTGTGCCTGGCGCCGGAAGAGAAGACGGCCCCCCTCTCTCGGCCCGGCCATCTTGTGGGAAGAGCTGAAGCAGGCGCTCTTGGCTCGGCGCGGCCCGCTGCAATCCGTAGAGGAACGCGCCGCCGAGCCACCATCATGCCTGGGCACCTACAGGAAGGCTTCGGCTGCGTGGTCACCAACCGATTCGACCAGTTATTTGACGACGAATCGGACCCCTTCGAGGTGCTGAAGGCAGCAGAGAACAAGAAAAAAGAAGCCGGCGGGGGCGGCGTTGGGGGCCCTGGGGCCAAGAGCGCTGCTCAGGCCGCGGCCCAGACCAACTCCAACGCGGCGGGCAAACAGCTGCGTAAAGAGTCCCAGAAAGACCGCAAGAACCCGCTGCCTCCCAATGTCGGCGTGGCTGATAAGAAGGAGGAGACACAGCCGCCCGTGGCGCTTAAGAAAGAAGGTAAAGCCGGGGTGGCAGGGCAGGGAGCGCCGGGGATGAAGGGAAGGCGCCGGGGGACTCACGGCCACCACTTGCTTGTAGGACAAGTTGCGAGGATCGCTCGGAGACTCGGTCCTCCTCTCCGCACGTTTCCCCCACGCGACAAAAGCCAGGTTCCGCGCAGGTGCTGGGAGCCTGGCGGCCGGTCCCCAAGTTCACGCCACCGCCTGCAGGATTCGCGGAGCCACGCCGTTCCCGCCTAACCCTGGGCGAGGAGCCGGGTCCTGCGGGCCGGACCCTTCCCGCCGATTCCCCCGGCGGGCGAGAAGGCGGGCGGGCTCTTTTTTGCAGCCTTTCGTTCGTAGGAAGAGTCTCAGTGGCCACAGTTCCTCCCCGGGCAGAGCTCTTCCTTCAGCGTGCTCCTAGGAGGTGTTCTGGTTTGCTTCGGGCTCTAGCTCTGCCATCTTGCCCCCACGATGGCGCGGGGCACCCTAAGTGAGAAACTGGGGCTCGGAGTTTGCACCTGAAGGTATCAGGTGTGGTTGGAATAGGTGCTGTTTGGAGCACCGCATGTGCTTTATTGTCCCCACTCCTAGAATCTTGTTCTAACTTGCAGAAGTGGATTGAACTGTGGAGAAGGAAGGGATTTGGCCCCTTTGGGTGAAGTGGGAGTTCCGAATAAAGACTTGGTTGTTACAGAATTGGAGACTGGGTATTATAGAATCGTCCCCGTGGCCCATCCCTTCTCCCGGTTTCCAGCATTCACGGTTGCCTTTGGTCTGGTCTGGGCCTCGTGGGTGAAACGAGGATCGAGGCTGTCAGTGTTCCGCAGCCGAACAGTATAGTCTGTAGCTTGCCCAGTACATGTGCGTGAAGCATGGTCAGGACTTCGCTGTTCCTAGGGTGGTGCAAGATTCAATTTTGCATTCTTGCTTGTTACTGATTTGTTGTGTATGAAAAGGGACCGAACAATTACAAGAAAGCATGAATAATCTGTAACAAATAGGGGTGGACCTAAAACCTAAGCTCTGAGTGTTTTGAGAGTGCCAGCATACATTGAAAGTTGAAGTTAGCCTATACTACCACGTGCTCCTGGAAGGACTTGTTTCTCGTTAGCGGAAGGACTTGTTAGCTTGGCTTTGGTGTAGGGAAATTTTTAAAAAGAACTTTCGTGAGACTTGGAATACAAAAATCTTGCATCTAGATGGTGAATTAAACACAAAGTCTTGCCTAAAATTATGTATAAAGTATTTAGCCTCACAATTGTGAATAAAGCATTTAATTTCTGTGTCAGAAGGAGCACAATTGATTTATTTAAACTGCTTAAACTTAACTGTTTGATCACACTAACATGAATGAATTGGGTCTAAAAAATAAATACTAGGTAGACTTGTTTACTCGTTTGAAGTGTTTAAAACCTGAAACATGGTTTCAGTGTTTCAGATTTGATTATGAAGACCACCTTTGAAATAACCTCTGCAGTTATAAATGTAGGAAAACAGTTTATAAATTGATAAAGCTTTTGATATAAAATTGAATTGATTTTGACATTAAATAATCATTCTTGGCTTGAAAAACTTTCAGATTAGTTATCATTGTGCTCCTTAGTATTTTAGTGGATGTTTCTCCCCCACCCCAAAGTGTTGGGTATTGAACTCAGCTCTTGGCATGCAACAGTTCTCAGCTATATCCCACATCCTCAAAACACTTTTTGATGTGACGTTTAAAAAAAAATCAAGCTTATAAATACAGAGGAAATGTTGAATGGGAAAGTTAACCATTTTCAGTTCTTAATGCCTGTTAGTCTTTTTTGGGAGGGGGGGGATGAAAGACCTGTAAACAAATTCCCCACGCTGTAGAGTTGGAACGATTACTCAGGTGTTGTGCCTTTGGTAATAGGTCCTAAGGCTGGGCTTTAGGTGTTGGATATTTGTTTTACATGAATTTTGTATTATAGCCTATTGCTAGCCGTTTAATTTACTTAGAATGTCAGTGAGTATAAAGAAATAACACCTAGATTTGAGTGCAGTTAGCTTGCAAGTATAAAGTACCTCAAAATAAGCTTGCATTAAAAAAATTAGTCATTTTTCACTATGTGAGGTTGTGTGTGTGTGTGCGTGCGCGCGTGTGCGTGCGTGCGTGTGTGCGTGCGGTTCTAATGGTGGACCCTAACAGATAACGTGCTAGGCAAGTACTTTTTTGCTGAGCTATATCCCCAGTCCGGCGATGAGTTTTTAAGATTCTTAGGTTTTGTAGGCCTGATGTTGACTACTGGGTGGGGAAGCAAGCCATTGTTCATTGGGTGTGTTTGGCTTGGATATTGTTATGAGGGCTGGTTACATAGCTTCTCCCTAATACTTTACACCTCTGATGAAATTTATTTAAATGCTTTGGTACAAGGCCTATGTTTTTTTTGTCTGCTCTGAAAGTTTACAGAAAATGAACTTTAAAATTTTATTAAAGAGGTACATATTTGTGTATGGCTGGAGTGGTAGGCGTTTTTGAATAATTGGGTGTGTCCTGATAGTGTTCCATTCTTAGAAATAGTGAAATAATGTAAGATCTTAAATCATGTCTCAGCTGTGTTTTCAGAAACTGATTTGGGAATTACAGCATTCTTGAAATCTTGGTCATGTATTGAATGAACAATCTCTTTGAGACTACCAATAATTCATATTGATTGTTTTTTGGGTGACTCACTGGTTCATTCTAATTTGGAGAAAAATAATAAAAGTTGGGAAATCAATAAATGCTTTAGCTATTACTTGTTAATCATCTTTTTCTTCTGTGCTGGAATTTATCCAGGATCTTGAGCATGCTAACATGCCACTGAGCTGTATCCACAGGTCTCTTACTGCATTTTACTTAAGGGAGGGGTCTTTCTGTGTCTGTTTTTAAGAATTATTTGGAAACAGATTCATGAAGGGTGGCCTTAATAAGAGACTACTGAATTATTTCCTAAAGGCTATATAAGTCCCCTCCCGCTCCAGGCTGGGACTCGAATTTGATATCTGATACTTTTGCCTGTTGTCTGGCACTCTACCATCTGAGTCATGCCTCCAACCTCACATAATCTTATTTTTTAGAGGAAGATGATACTATTTTTCTGGCCAAATAGGTGTTTTACTCTTAATCTGAGACAGGGTTTCTGTAACTCAGAACTCATTCTAAACTGGAGGTGTTCTGTAGCGGTCTTAAATGCCATTTGCTATCCTTTCACATTTGTCATTTTAAGGAATTACGAGTATTCCGTTTCTTCCCAGGCTATATATAGTATAGTACAGACATTCACTTTTTTGACTGTGTGACATTTTTAAAAATTCCTGATGGAAGTTAGGGTTACCCAAATGACTTCCAAGTCAGAATAATTGCAGATATGTGAGGGATAACTTGGCAAACTAGAGAGAAAGTTAAAACAAGATCATGAATGATGAGAAATTTCCTCTAAAATATTTGGTCATACACTGGGTGTTTTCTAATCCAGGCCTAAATTTCAATTGGAAAAATGATTTGGTGTGCTGGTTATTCATTATTAGGAATAAGACGAGTTGGAAGAAGACCTGATCAGCAACTTCAGGGTGAAGGGAAAATAATTGATAGAAGACCAGAAAGGCGACCACCTCGTGAAAGAAGATTTGAAAAGCCACTCGAAGAAAAGGGTGAAGGAGGCGAATTTTCAGTTGACAAGTAAGTTTTTAAAATAGTACTTCATGTTTTATTACTTTGTAGTTACATCTTAACATATAGTTATAAATTGGGCATAATTGCCAGTAATAATGTAGCTGATTACTTCTGTCAGTTTTTCAGAGAAACTTGTGTGTTCATTGTTGTACTTAGATTTTGGATAAACATTTTCAAACATACATCTTGTACACTTTGGATGTTAATTTCTTTCACTCTCCAAATGTTGGGCTAAAAGGATGTTAATGCTAATTTATTACAAACCAATAATTTATGTTGGTTAGATGTGTTTAAACTTTTGTATACATGTAAATAGTTTAATAGTGAATAGCATTGGAAATATATCACTAACAATTTTTAAAAACAAAGGCCAAATAATTTTGTTTCAAAGGTTTTCCTGATTCTGGTTTCCTTTGTGTTTGGAAATAGACTTGAATTTTATAAAGTGTGTGATTAGTTGCTATGAGTCAATAAGCATATTCTGTATTTACGAGCCTTTGAATGGGTATCTTATTCCTTTTTCTGGAAACTTTGGAGATGTAATTGTTAATTTGTATTGTAGACCGATTATTGACCGACCTATTCGAGGACGTGGTGGACTTGGAAGGGGGCGAGGAGGTCGTGGACGTGGAATGGGCCGAGGAGATGGATTTGATTCTCGTGGCAAACGTGAATTTGATAGGCATAGTGGAAGTGATAGATCGTAAGTTTTATGTTGATTATTTCATTTCTTAGATGTTAATATGCTTATTTAATAAACAAAATTTGAATTTCTAGAATTAAAGAGTATTATGTTAACTCAGTTTTGTTAGTTCTTTTTCACATTACAGTGGTCTGAAGCATGAGGACAAGCGTGGAGGTAGCGGATCTCACAACTGGGGAACTGTCAAAGATGAATTAACGTTGGTATTCTGATTTTTAAGTTAAATTATTTCAATAAATTGAACTTGAAAGTTTTTTATAAGCTTAAATTTTGCTCCTTAGACAAGGATGGATACTTTATCAAAGCTATTACTTACAAAATAATGTCTTAAGAGATAGGTTTGGTTTTTATATCATGATCATTTTTCTATCCTATCCTTAAGTATCCTATCCTTAAGTATGTTATTAATGTAGCTTTTCCTAAAGCCCTACACTTGACATTTCAGTATTCTCATTTCATTGTACCTGCAATAGTTCCTTGAATTTTAGTCCTTCCCATATGTAAGTCAGTAATACTTTGTTTAGGTTTGTTTAAGATTATCTTAGAGGTCTTGTCTTCTAGGGAGTAAATTTAGTGGGAATGTTAAAAAAAATGTGAAAAATTTCTGTTTGTATGAAGAACTCTTTGGTTACATGTAAATGGACCTAGATGCCTTTCTTTTCTTTCTTTCCTTAGAGAGTCCCCCAAATACATTCAGAAACAAATATCTTATAATTGCAGTGACTTGGATCAAACAAATGTGACTGAGGAAACACCTGAAGGTGAAGAACACCCAGTGGCAGACACTGAAAATAAGTAAGTGGTTTCTATGAGTGAGGGTTCAACACTGAATGCGGTTAGGTTTTTACCAGTAAGGTGACTCATAGATTCAGTTCTGTTACTTAATGACAATAAAGAGAGATTTTATTTTGGGTCGGGGTACTTGCTGTGTATGTAGCCCAGGATGTCTTGAACTTGGAATCCTCTTGCTTAAGTTTGAGTGCTGGAATTCATTAGTTCTTTTACTACTTTCTTACGTCTGAGTTAAGAGGTACACTATTTTAGTAAAGCCTATTAACACTAATCACAAAAATAACCCTTGAAATCCAAAGGTAACAGGGTTTTATACATTTGACCTGTATCACTATCTATCTATCTAAAAGACAGGTTTTTTTCTCCCAGATATGTTCTTAATATCTTTGCAAAAATCAATTGACTGTAAATATGGCTAATAGGGTTTTGTTTCATTCCATGGGTTTATGTCTTTTTAGATTATTCTCAACTAGAGCACAGCCAAACCAGTCAAGAGGAGGATTCTCTTTCTAAAAATTTCCTTTTCCAGGAAGAATTGCTCTTAGAGTGAAACACTGATAATGATGAGAAGGGGATACCATATTCCCTGACTTGGTGGCCTGAGAAAAAATGATTTATTATTGGAGAGAGCAGATCAGAGTACTGTGTGGTATTTTGTACTTGCGGTAATATTAATTTATATGAAACTATAGAGTCCTAATTTTGTGTTGTAAACAATGAAATTGTGATGGTGACTTACATAAACCCTGTGTAGGATTAAGTAACCCCAGACTGCTGAAAACAACTTCATTAGAAAACCAATGCTTAAGTCACTTTCAACAAGAGCCACAAAATTGTAATTGTATACCAGAAGTAAATGATAATATTGATAGGATATTTGGCTCAATATGAAGAAATAAATTTGGGAATAATGGGTCTAAAAAAGGTAATGATGCTTATCAAAACATTCTCTTAGTATTATATCTTGTATGTGGTAATATAAATTAAACAAAACTTAATGTCTGAAGTTTCCAGACATTCTGTTGGTTTAATGTTTAGTTACACCTTACATCAGTCCTTAAATGTAGGTGTCATAACTCATTGTATTCAAATTTATGTTAAGTCCTAATCTTGGCTGTGTCAATTGATAAATTACTAAATAGTAAGCTGATAAATATTCAGTACCTAAGACTTTTTTTTTCTTTGTCCATCATGGGGTTTGAACTCTGGGTCTAGACACTGTTCTTGAGCTCTTCAGCCTCCAGCTCAAGGCTAATACTCTGCTACTTGAGCGACAGCACCACTTCCAGTTTTCTGGTGGTTTTATGAGTCTCACAGACTTGTCTGCCTAGGCTTGCTTTGATCTCAGCCTCCTGAGTAACTAGATAGATGATTGTGAGCCATTGGTGCCCTGCTAAGGCTCTCTAATTTAATGTAAACTTGCTTTTGGAAATTTTAAGATAGGATTTGTCAGATAATAAAGGGCAGTTTGGAAGATTAGTAAAAACTTACGGTTAACTAAATTACTTACTATCTTTGGAAATAGGGCTCCCCAAATAGGGAATGACTTGTTTAGTGGATAATACTAAGATTTGACTAAAGTAGTTAATGGATTCCTAGGCCTATATTTCTGTAAGAATTATATTTAGAAATAACTAACTTTGTATTATGTTGAAACAGCTTTTGTGAACATATTACTAGTGAAACCTTAGATTGGTTTGAAGGTTGGATTGTACAGATTTTAAGATGTGCAGAAACTTGGCTTTTGGTTTATTTTGCATTAAGTGTTGGTGCTGAAGTGAAAAAGGATCTGTTTATATTAGGGTTTTTTTTGTTTGTTTTTTTGTTTTTGCCAGTCCTGGGGCTTGAACTCAGAGCCTGGTCCCTGTTCCTGAACTTCTTTTGCTCAAGGCTAACGCTGTACCATTTGAGCCACAGCGTCATTTCTGGCTTTTTCTATGTATGTGGTACTGAGGAATTGAACTCAGGGCTTCGTGCATGCTAGGCAAACACTCTGCCACTAAGCCACATTCCCAGCCCAAGATCAGGTGTTTGTTTGGTTGGTTTATTTTTGGCTTTTACTTTTTTTTGTCGGTCGTAGAGCTTGAACTCTGGGCCTGGGAGCTGAATTTTACTAGCTACCTACCAGGTATAAAATTGAAACATCTTTTTCTGCAGGGAGAATGAGGTTGAAGAAGTTAAGGAAGAGGGTCCAAAAGAGATGACTTTGGATGAGTGGAAGGCTATTCAAAATAAAGACCGGGCAAAAGTGGAATTTAATATTCGGAAACCAAATGAAGGTGCTGATGGGCAGTGGAAGAAGGGATTTGTTCTTCATAAATCAAAGAGTGAAGAGGTAAAATTAAGATTTGTGGTGTTTGGTGTGTTCAAATGTGACTTGAATGAATTTGTAACTTTTGCTGTAGATTTTACATTGATAATTTGTATAAAACAAAAAGGTTTTTACATGGATGGTTGAGAGCAGATAAAAGTTGAACCTATTTTTGGAATTTTACTTGGAATCATTAAAGGTTTCTTTTATTAGGTTGAAATGTTGACATTTTCCTGTAGTTTAACCTAAAATACTAGGCTTTCTTTAGTTAATACATTTCAAGATTATCTGTGTGTTGTGTACAATAGTTAGAACTTGGTAAATTTTAGAAATCTTTACTAAGGAATGAAATCTTAGAAGACCAAATAATTAACTTATATAACATTTCCTTTATTTTGGAAGCATAGAAATAAGTGAAAATATTTGAGAAATGCTTCCTGGTGACTTTTGATTCAGTAGCCTTTATTTATAAGTCTTGGGGCATGTTGTTGGAAAAAGATCACAATGCTATCTCTGATTAAGGTTTGTTAAGTGTGAGATCTTAGCCATTATTTCTTTCTACTAAATTCTTTTTCTCTATCAGCTTCTTTTGACCTTTTGAGGTATGTACTTACATCATAAATTGGCTGTAACAAAACTACAGTGTATAAATCCTATTACCCTAAGGTAAAGTTAAATGTTACATAGTTAAATGTTACATAGGCATAATAGAAAGATTCAATAACATTCTGTTTAGTTTTGATGCTGGAGATTGAACTCGGCATTTGGAGTGCATGTGCTCTGCCACTTGGCACGTTTATACCCAACTCAGTAAAATCTTAAAGTAATTTAGTTTAATAAGCAAAAAGCTGTGAAACATTTGGTGAATATTACGAAGTAGAGGTTGAAAACACAAGTGGTTTTCTGAGTTTAGAGAAGAGTTGTTTTTAACAACTCCATCATAACAAATGAAAACATGGTCTTAAATGTCTTATAGAAAAAATTATTTTCTTTCATTAGAATGCTTTTTGTTTATTTTTGCCTTTGGTGCCTGTACTAGAACTTGAACTCAGGGCCTCAAGCTTTCAAGCAAGGCTGGTGTTCTACCTCTTGATCAACATATCCACTCAGCTTTTTGCTGATGAATTTGAGATAGCAGTCTCATAATTTTGTGCCCAGGCTGACATCAAATTGTGATCCTCAGGTTTTCAGCATCTTGAGTAGCTAGTATTATGACCTTGGCCCAGTCAGTGTCCATCAAAATGAACTTCTCAAATCTGTTTTATTGCCTGGTATTTGAACTTGGACTCGCTTTTGCTCTTTCTTTGTCAGTAATTGAGGTAAAATCATCATTATGTCAGAGTAGAGCAGTATAGAATTTCTGATTCTGGAGCCATGAAAGTTTATGTTGGAGAGTAGTTTTTTATACATATAAAATTCTATTTGTAACATAAAGTGGATTTATTAAAACGTTGAAGTCTACATTTTGTAAGCATCTGGGTAGGTATCCCAATTTAATATTTTTACACTGGGCTTTTCAACTAGTCTGACCTTACCCATAGTTTTGAACATAAAGTCCAGAAATATTAAATGGAAAATCCCTACAATGTCCATTCCATAAACTTTATGGATTGTATACTATTCTGAATAGTGTAGAGTCTCAACACTGCCCTGTCTCTCAGAATGAATTATCTTCCTGTCCAGTGTCATTCTGCATTATATACATTACTTGCCCCTTAGTTGCTCAGTATCCTAAGTGTAGAAAAGCGGTGCATAAAAAGTACCAACTTGTGGGCTGGGAAGGTGGCTCAGTGCTCGCGTGCTTGCCTTGCATGATGAGGCCCTGGGTTTGATTCTTCAGCACTACATAAGCAGAAAAGGCCAGGAGTAGGTGTTGTGGCTCCAGCAGTAGAGCGCTAACCTTGAGCTGAAGAGCTGAGGGACAGCTCCCAGGCCCAGAGTTGAGGCCCCACAACCGACAAAAAAAAAAAAAGTACTAACTAGTCTTACTGGTCTTTAAGCACCCCATGTGTGCTTAGAATTTGTGGTCTTGGAATTTGTGGTCCTTTGCAGATAATGAAGACCACTGTATCATGCAAAGTAAGTATATGACTACACGTTTTAGAAATTGTAAAACATGAAACTGGTTATGAGGAGTTTTGAAACCAGGACCTTCGTATTATTAAGCCACTAAAAATGTATTAATGCCCTTGGAAATAGATGCTTGTTTAAACTGGTATGTATGCCTTTACCATTTTGGATGTCTAGGTCTTAAAGTGTGCTGTCTGTAATACTTTTACAGATATTTGTCTTTGTTACAAAGGAGGTTGAGGAAAAAAAGATAATTTAGGAGTGGGGAAATGAGATAACCTGGTGTGTTACTGACAGCTTGATCAGAAAGCGTCTATTCCTCATTCAGCAATTCCTATTCTAGACACTTAGAAAACTGTTGCAGTAGAGTTAATATTTAGTTAGAAATGTAAACAAAACAACCCTTTTCTGGCAGTATGGTGTTTGAACTCATGACTTCATACTTGGTTGGTTCTCATACTACCACTTGAGCCATGTTCTCCTCATACTACCACTTGAGCCATGTTCTCCAGCCAGCTTTTGCTGATTATTTTGGAGATAAAAGTCTTCGAGACTTGGCCAGACTGGCCTTGAATTTCTGTCCTTCAGATATCGGTATTCTGGTTATCTAGAATTATAAGCATGAACCACTGTTACCTGACTCACTTTGCCTGCTCCTGCCCTCCTCTATTTTCTTTTCTTTCCTTTTCCTTTCCCTTCCTTTCCATCCATCTGTGTGCATGTACCAGTACTGTAGGGGCTTGGAGGGCCAGAGCATTGTCCTTGAACTGCTTTGCTCAAGGCTAGCAGCACTCATAGCACTTGAGCCACAGCTCCACTTTTAGTTTTTTGGTGGCTAATTGTAGGTAAAAGTCTGGGATTTGTTTGTTCCAGCTGACTTTGAACCACAATCTTAAGCTCTCAGTCTCTCAAGTAGCTAGGATTACAGACATGGGATACCTGTGCCTGGCTTAAGACTTTTGTAATTGTACAAAAAACCCTCTAGGGCTTTTTTGTTATTTGCTTTTCTGTTCTAAATTTTAAAATAAGTTCTAATTAATGAATTGGTATAATTTGTTTCAGATAGAACACATTTAAACACAACATAGTCTATATAATTGATTTGTAATTTGCTAGAGGTTTTATATTCATATCAGATTTTTAGATTCCTTTAAAATTAATTTTAAGAGAGCCTTTGAGTTGGCTTGACAGTGATGTGGATATAGGATGATAAAAATGTAAAGACAGTACTTTAAGTTGATTTGGAAGGAAGAAAATGTACTTTTTCTCTTCAGAAAGGAGGATTATACATGTACTTAGAGAAAGGAGTAATGTACTTTTAATCAGCATAAGCAACATTTCCATCCAGGGAATAAACGTTTTATTCAGATGTACAAGAAATTTGATATTAAGCAATATAAAATGATTAATATATTCATTCATGTTAAGTACAGGTTGGATAATTGGGCTGATTTTCTCTCTTTCTCTCTCTTTTTCTTTTGTTGGTCATCGGGCTTGAACTCTGGGCCTGGGCGCTGTCCCTGAGCTCTTCAGCTCAAGGCAAGTGCTCTACCACTTGAGCTACAGCACCACTTCCAGTTTTCTGGTGCTTAATTGGAGATCAGAATTTCATGACTTTTCCTGCCTGGGCTGACTTTGAACTGCAATCTCAGATCTCAGCCTCCTGAGTAGCTAGGATTATAAGCATGAACCATTGGTGCCTGGCTAATTCTCTTTATGTTTTTAAACAAGAAAGCTTATTATTTTACAAGGTTGGCTTTCCTGTTACTTATTACCTAGAGTCCCAGAGTGAGTCATAGAGCTTACACCTACAAAATATCTGGATTTCACAAACATTTCACTTTCAAGAAAGTTCATTTGCCTACAAGTGATAGCTTAAGGCTATAATCCTAGCTACTTGGAAGATATACATTGGGATGTGGCTTGAGGCCAGTTTTCAGATAAAGTTTTATAAGAATGACATTGGAGGAAACGTAATTTTGAAGGGAAAATCTTAACCCAAACATAAAAGTGACATCATAACGCAAATATAACTAATGTAGAAAAAGAAAAAGGGCCAGAAGAGTGGTAGAAATTCCTATCTTGCAAGGGGAGGATCTTGAGTTCAATCCCACTTGATATCAAAAGAAAAATTCTTTTGATTATATTTTAAGATGTGGTTTTATGTGTGTGTGGCTTTTCAAATCAGATATTGAGCTTCATAAGTTGACCCAAATTTCAGATATATGAGTGGACAAACCTAAAATCTGTACATACTTTCCCAGATTGTAGTTTTGAAAGTGTTAAAAGAGAATATTTAAGTGTCTTATTACTAGTGGATACCTTAGGTGCACTTTCACAGATTTCACAGCCAAAGATTACCATTCAGTAGTTCTACAAGGGGGGAGGGGACCAGCTACTTTAATCTTTTGAAGACTGTTGATAACTTGCAATTTAGAGCAATTTGAGATAGAGGAAGGTTATAGGGAATACTTACTTTAAGGATGATGGTAGCTGAACCCAAAGCTAACTTTATTACCTGTGAAATTTCTTCACATATGTAGGTTGGATAGTTGGTCTTTTTGTAGGAGAAAGCTCATTACTTAGAAATTTGGTGGTATTGCCTTTCTAGTATTACCCAGAATTCTTTACTTAACATTTTTAGGCTCATGCTGAAGATTCCGTTATGGACCATCATTTCCGGAAGCCAGCAAATGATATAACATCTCAGCTGGAGATCAATTTTGGTGACCTAGGCCGCCCAGGACGTGGTGGCAGGGGAGGACGAGGTGGACGTGGGCGTGGTGGACGTCCAAACCGTGGCAGTAGGACTGACAAGGTAATTGTAGTACTTTTTCCCTTTTACGTAGTAAATCACTGGCTGAAGCCTTTCAGAATATGAGAAGCAAAAGTAGGCTTTCAGTTTTTTAAAAATAGGCTGCTTTTAGAAAGCTGTATTTTAAGTACATTTCTGTTCAAAGCACTTCAGTAACTTATTTTTTCCCCCCATCCTGGGGCATGAACTCATTAGTGCTCTGCCACTTGAGCCACAACACCACTTCTGGCCTTTTCTGAGTAGTTTATTGGAGATTAGAATCTCATGGCCCTTCCTGCTCAGGCTGGTTTCCTACCATGAACCTCAAATCTCAGCCTCCTGAGTAGCTAACAGCACCCAGCCACACATGAATTATTAGGTGTTGGTGACAGTGCTGTGCTAAGGTACTTAGGTCATTTTTATTCTCTGTGGTGATGACATCATTTAATAATGGATGAGGAAATTCAGATATGGGGTATCAAGTTCATTCTTGGCATTTGCTTGGTTTACTTGAAATACCAATCTATTCCCTTTATTATTACTGTTGTTATTGCCAATTCTGGAGCTTGAACTCAAGGCCAGGGCACTGTCCTTTACTTTATATCCTGTTATACTATTCATTGTTGGACATGTTTGTAAGACCACTGTTTTTTTGTTGTTTATTTCTAACTCTGACAGTTGGGATTCATGTTTTATTTGTTTGGGTAGTATTGGGCTATGAATTTGTACTGTGCTTGATTGTTGGATAGGTACTGTACGACGGAGGTTTGCTCCCTAGCCTGTTGTTTGTTTTTTGTTTTGTTAATACATAAACTTATGTGGCTAGGTGGTTTCTTAGCCTGTATGTCACAAAAACCTACAAATACTAAAGAATCCATTATGTGGAAAATAAGTTAGATGTAATGATGAACTATTCCAATACTCTTAGACAGTAAAGAAGTACGAGGATCTCAAGTTTGTGTGAGGCTAGCCTGGGCTGCTTAGTAAGACCCTGTGGTACAATAAAGTAGTGTAAGGTAGAGTGTTGATTAGCTTGCATAAAAAAATGCCCTGGATTTTTATTCCTGGTACTAGAGGGATAAAAAGGAAAAGGAGGGGCTGAGAACGTGGTTCAGTGGTAGAGTGCTTGCCTAGCATGCATTGAAGCCCTGGGTTTGATTCCTCATACCACATAAACAGAAGAAGCTGGAATTGGCGCTCTGGCTCAAGTGGTAGAGCGCTAGCCTTAAGCAGAGGAAGCTCGGGGACAGTGTCCAGGCCTGGAGTTCAAGCCCTACAACTGACAAAACCCAAAAAAGTGAAAAGAGACACTATCTGTGTTATTGTAGGGAATTTTAAGTTTTGCTAGAAATTGAAAATGTTTTATTGAAAGTAATTGTGATTTCCTTCTGACAATACTATCCAGTATATTAATTCAAAGTTTGTTTTTGGAGGTCAATGGTTAAATGTGAATGCTGGTAGTATAGTATATTTTCAAATTTTGAGAATTGTGGCTAATTTTGTTTTTGTTTTTGTTTTTTCCAGTCAAGTGCTTCTGCTCCTGATGTGGATGACCCAGAAGCATTCCCAGCTCTGGCTTAACTGGATGCCATAAGACAACCCTGGTTCCTTTGTGGACCATCCTGTTCTAAAAGCTTTTGCATGCTTAAGGATCCCAAACAACTAAGAAATTTAAAAAAAAAAAAACAAAAAAAAAAAACAAAAAAGACTGTCATTCATACCATTCACACCTAAAGACTGAATTTTATCTGTTTTAAAAATGAACTTCTCTCGCTACACAGAAGTAACAAAAATGGTAGTCAGTTTTGTATTTAGAAATGTATTGGTAGCAGGGATGTTTTCATAATTTTCAGAGATTATGCATTCTTCATGAATACTTTTGTATTGCTGCTTGCAAATATGCATTTCCAAACTTGAAATATAGGTGTGAACAGTGTGTACCAGTTTAAAGCTTTCACTTCATTTGTGTTTTTTAATTAAGGATTTAGATGTTCCTCTAATATACAAACTGGTATAAATATCAGACATTATCAGTTTTAATACCTGCTTTGCATTTTCACACATAGTCAACTGGGACATGTAAACTTTGATTTGTCAAATTTTATTCTGTGTGGAATACTAACTACTTTATGTATTTTAACTTAGTTTTAATTTCATTTTTGGGGAGAAATCTTTTCACTTCTCATAGCTGTTATATACGCTAAATCTTTATATACAGAAGTATCAGTACTTGAACAAATTCAAAGCACATTGGTTTATTAACCCTTAACTCCTGCATGGTTCATTAGGTTTGAATTATATCTGATACACAATTACAAATATATTTACCTTTAAAATGTGTGACTTTCCCAGCTAAAAGCTAAACTAGATACGTTATTAGTGAAAGTTGTTTAAGATACTCTTGATAGACATCCTGTCAAGTGAAGTCATTTTATGGGTATGAGTTTTTCTCCCCTTCCTTACAACAGATTGGGTGGAATAGTTGGGTTAGTGCACAACATTTATACTTCATAAAATAAGTGTCTAGCCACTTGCTGTGATTGGTGTATGAAAGATCCCCAAATCAAAGTGATATATCCATAATAAATAACTCTTCTTGTTCTGAGGACACCAAAGGGCACTGGTTAGTGTGGTGAGATGGGGAGAGTATTTTGATTTTTAATATTTGAAATTAGCTTTACAAGATTGGAACAGCAGCACCTTCCATAAAATATAAACCAAATGTATTAGTCTTTATACTATATTATTTGGCCTGAAGTTTATAGGTGAACGTTCCACTGGAGGTGTTAAGTATTTTTCTTCTTCCTCCATTAGAAAGTTAGGTAATGAACTAATTCCTTGAATGGGAACAATACCACTAATTAAAAAATACATAAATAGAATTATCAATAGAGGTTTTCTAGATATTTAAAAGAAACCCGCCACATTATTGATTAAACAGGGAAGGAATTTAAAGTTTAAACTCATTTGTTATTCAGTTTTGTCAGTAATTTTCTACCTCTATGTCCTGTTTTTAAAATATTGGAGATCTTAAATCGTAAACACATCTGCTATTTAGTAGATTTGTTTTCACATACCCTTCTAGAAAATATTGTACAGTACAAGTTATTCATTTGATAAGATTTATTGATTTAGTTACCTACTAATAGTCTTGACATCTTAAAAAGGGGGTAATTGTTTTTTAATGATGGATAAACGTGTGCTGGTGTTTTAGAACTTATGATGTTGAGCATGTTCTGCACTGGTGCTATTGTCTAATTTTATAATCTACAAGCATACTTGCTACCACTAGGCAAGTATGAATTTAGTCCATATGGGCTGTTGACCCCTTTTGAGATTGCAGCATATGTACTCTTAAATCAGTGTGTTTCAACTTGAAAGTATCTACTTAATTTCTGAACATGTAACATATTTACAGACCCCTTGATATCCAGCAATATTTAGAAAATATCTATTAAAACACAAGTTGTGTTAGCTGTTAGCCATTGTCACCAGAGAACACACAGCAATATTTGTTATGTTGCAAGCTTGAAGGTAGCTTAAACTTGAAATAGTTGGTCCATTAGTTGTACCTGATGGATGTGAAATTGCCTCCTAGTTCACTTTGTGTCAAGAGCTAAAACTGTGAACCTTTATTGGTGGGTAATAACTGAAAATAAAGATTTATTTTCATGCTCACTTCTTAAGAAGTCATACAAACAATTAAATAGGAGCCCATTTATCATGCTTTCTGATTTCTGATCTCTGTATCCCTAAGGTGATGCAAGCAAATATTTATACAATGCTTCTTGATCATGATTACTCCTATCATTCTTCCTCCTTTCTGTTTTAAAGTTTTTCAATGTTTAGAAATTATATGAAGTTTCTACTTAAAGCAGGATGTCAAATTACACTTGGGAGAAATAGCTATGGCAGTAACACAGTCGGATAAAAAATTTAAGAATTTCAATGGCTGATAGAACAGCTGACTATTTTCTCTTAGAACTCATACTAAATATTTTTTAGTGACAAACTGGGTATAATAATCTAGAGCAGGGGTGGAGATTAACCAGTCAGTGAGTTGTGATCATTTGGTATGGAATAGGACAGCATGTATGTTTACCAGCTGCACAAGGTGGCCTGCCTATATTGGTTTTCTGTTGCCCTTTGCAGAAAAAAAATCACCCACCACTGCTCTATGGAGATGCTCTTAAAGGGTAGATTCCTAAGATACTGACACTGATGCTGTCTTTTCAATTTTGTTTTGTATGCAGTGCCTGTTCTTGGGCTTGGAAGTCAGCCTGGGAAATGGCCCTGAGCTTTTGTGCTCAAGGCTAGCACTCTACCACTTGAACCACAGCTCCACTTGTGGCTTTTTTGGTAGTAAATTGGAAATAAGATTCTCAGACTTTTCTCCCAGGCTGCTTTGAACTATGATCCTCAGACCTCAGCCTTCTGAGTAGCTAGGATTACAGGTGTGAGCCATCAGCGCCTGGCTCCATTGAGTTTTAATATGCCTATAAACTGAAAGTCTGAAATTTTAAGACATTCTAGCTTATATTGAATGACTAGGCATAGTACTGTTTTGTAGCCTGTGGAGTTACTGAAATATTTTCAATTTATCACCAGTTCCTATACCTTGAATTCTTTAACTCAGTTTTGTGTTAGAAATGAAAGCAAAATACTGACTACTTGAGTCATAATTCTGGTATGGGTTGGAGGAAGAGTATTTGATTTGTATTTTGTAATTGCTAGAGATGCTTGCTAAAAAATGTTAATAAGGAGTTGCATGCAACATCTAAATATTGCTTGTTGAACTTTAATAACAAGTCTTTAAGAACTGTGAGATAAAGGAAAGCAACAGGTATTTAAAGAGACAAAGCTAGTACCTGACAGTTTGATTTAAAGGTAAGGTGGTGCAGTTTTAAAGGGTTAAAAGTAAATTTAGTGTTTTGTTTTCAGACAAGATTGTATAGCTTGCTGCTTAAATATTTTCAAAAAATTGGCTGTAAAATTGAAATGCCAATGTTACATAATGTTTAGTGGCACTTCAAATCACTTAGTTCTCAGCTTTCTGTTCTGTACATATTTTTTTTCCATGAGACTTAACATGTCTTTTTATATAGGCAAGTTGAGCTAGGTCTGTAATTAATGGCTACTTGAATTTAGAATACCCATTTAATTTGGAGGCCCTTACTTGGGATACTGAGGCAGGAGGATCTTGAGTTTGAAGCCAGCATAGTGAAACATTGTGAAGAAAGAACCCAGTAGCTGAAATTGGGATTGGAAGTGTGGAGCCAGCACAGGCAGATAAATCTTTTTCAGATTAACTAACCCCAGTTACGAAGCAAGAAGCCAGAAATAGAGATAAGGCTCAAGGGATAGAGTGCCAGCTGGAAGCAGGAGCTCAAGGCTGGTAATACAAGCCTCCAGACACGCACCAATAATTAAATAACCACTTTCACAGAATGTAGATTTGTGCTATCATACTCAATAATGAGTCAGTTCTCTAGTAAGTGGAAGAAAAAATGACAAGGCACATGATTGAGCTGTGTAGATATTAATATTTGCTCCCCCCCCTCCTCGTTTGGGTGTGGCAAGTATGCTTGGTTGGAGACTTGTGAAGGAAAAAATACAGGTGAAATATAGACTTGGACTTGGTTAAACTGTGTAGGCGATGGGCTCCTGCCAGATGATGAGACAATTAGTGGATTTTGTGGATTTGTCCTAGGAATATATTACATTTCTGATATGAAGTAGGGAAAATGAAGGACAAGGAGTCAGGATTTCTATGTGTTGCCAAGTGAGGAAAATAGGGTTTAGTTTATCTTTGGATTTTATTGGTTTGCACTGTATAGTTGAAATTGTAGTTGGAGCTTAGCCATTTTTCTTCCAGAACTTAGAACCTACAAGTAGCTAATTTGGAAGAGGATGTTGGTTTTCTTATACCTAGGTGAAGACTTAAAAGATGGTCCACGTTACAGCTGGGCTCTATAATTTTAGATACCAAGGAAGCTGAAAAACATTTGGGAGCCAGCTGGGCCAGAAAGCTGATAAGTATAGTGAGCCCAAAGCCATGGCTGAGTTCAAGGCCCCCAGTACCATCAAAATAAAGCTCAACTTCATTTGGTTTCTGGCATTTAACTGCCTTCCTATCTGTCCCCCGCCCCCCCCCCCCCCACACACACACATATTAGGACTAAATGCTAGTCAATGAGTAATAACTGGGAAAACTGAACTTTAATTCTTCCTTGTTTCAAACCTGGGGTTGAATCTACAAAGGCATTTACTCAGCTATACACTGACAACTGACACTTCATGTTTGGAATTTTATTTGAAAGTTTTTTCAAGACTGTTAGGCTATTTTGGGAAGAGGTCTACTTCCAAGAGTGAGTGGGTTTTTATCCCCCATTGCATGGCTTAAGCATTAGAGGCTTTAGAGATGGGCAATTCCAGTTGCAGGATCTTAGATGTCCCAGGCCATCCTTAAACTCAAGCTCTTACCGCTTCAGGAGACTGAGAGGGTTATATTACTCGTGGCAATTGATTTGTTTCCCTGTTTTTCTTGGAAAGTCAGCTTCCCAAGTTTCTTTTTTTGGCGGGGAGGTCTGGTCCTGGGGCCTGAACTCTAGGCCTAGGCGCTGTCCCTCAGCTCCTTAGCTCAAGGCTAGCTCTCTACTACTTGAGCCACATCCCCACTTCCGGCTTTTTCTGCTTACGTGGTGATGAGAAATCAAACCCAGAGCCCCAGGCATGCAAGGCAAACGCTCGCTCTACCACTGAGCCACCCTCCCAGCCCCAAGCTTCCCAAATTTCTAACTAACTTGATGTACTGTGAGTTGCATGTGTGTTTTTCTGCCTAAGCTGCCTTTGGCTGACTTTGAACAGAGATATCCTCATAACTTCCTCCTGAGTACAGACAGTGAGCCATGAGTGCCTAGACAGCAATAACATTTCCTTCTTTGTTTTTTGTTAATTATCGGTGATTTGGCTTTTAACTCAGGGCCTTGGTGCTGTCTCTGAGCTTTTGAGCTCAAGCCTAATTAATCCTCTACCACTTGAGACACAGCTCTGCTTCAGGTTTTCTTGGTATTAAATTGGAGATAAGAAAGAATCTCATACTTTATTGCCTGGGCTGGCTTTAAACCATGAATGATCCTTAGATCTCAGCCTCCTGTGTAGCTCAGATTACAGGTGTGAGCCACCAGTTTGTGGCAATGAGGCTCTTTTTAGGCAGTTATTGGCCACTAGTCGTGGTTGGGTGGGGATAGTATACATAGCCAGGTATACTTTGTATACCTCTTTGTTTAGTTTACAGTCTTATACCATGAAGAATAAAAGATCAAGTAGGCATTTGGTTATTTATCTCTAACAGTTGTAACTTATCATTAAAAGGTGGACATTACATTGACAGAAGTAGGGAAGTTCTTGATGCTGTGTAGCTAAGTGAGCTTAACACCTGAGGGGGAAAGTTACCTTCAGGAGAAAGAACTTATTAAAATAAAATAGCTAACAAATATA